GGAACTAAGGCCTCCACCCAGGTGGAGGATGCTAACTTCAGGCTGAATACGAGATTCCTGGAGCACCATCCTGTTACCTCACCACCCACCAATCAGAAGAAAGTCACACACCCTGCAGCCCTCACCCCAAATTTTTCCTATTAAAAACTTCCCCCTGAAAACCATTAGGGACTTAAGGAGTTTTTCAATCATGAGCCACCCATTCTCCTTGCTTGGCCCTGCAATAAATCTTTCTCTGCTCCAAAAAAAAGAAAAGATTTATTATAAAGCTACAATAATCAAGACTCTGTGGTATTTATTGGCCAAAGGACAGACATACAGATCAATGGAATAGAACAGAGCATACAGAAATATACCCATAAATACATGGTAAATTGATTTTCAACAAAGGGGCAAAGGCAATTCAATGGAGAAAGAATAAACTTTTCAACAAATAGAGCTGCCTGGAAAACTGGACATCCATATTAAAAAAATTAACCTCAACCCATACCTCATAATGTAGTCACATTAATTCAAAATGGATAATAGATCTAAATGCAAAACCTAAAATGAAAGAACTTTTAGAAGACATAGGAGAAAAATCTTTGTGATCCTGGGTGAGGCCACGATTTCTTAGATATGACACCAAAAGCATGCTCCATAAAGGAAAAAAAGTAGGTAAAGTGGAATTCATCAAAAGTAAAAACTGCTGCTCTGGGAAAGATACTTTTTTTTTTTTTTGAGGTACGCGGGCCTCTCACTGTTGTGGCCTCTCCCGTTGCAGAGCACAGGCTCGGAACATGCAGGCTCAGCGGCCACGGCTCACGGGCCCAGCCGCTCCGCGGCATGTGGGCTCCTCCCGGACCGGGGCACGAACCCGTGTCCCCTGCATCGGCAGGCGGACACTCAACCACTGCGCCACCAGGGAAGCCCTGGGAAAGATACTTTTAAGAGATTAAAAAGACAAGCCACAGACTGGAAAAATTATTTGCAAAACATATCTAAGAGAAGACAATTCAGAATACATAGAAAACAATCAAAATTGAATAATAAGAAAACGAAACACCCAGCTAAAAATTTCACAAAAGGTTTGACAGACACTTTACCAAAAAAGGTATACAAATGCCTAATGAACACATGAAAAGATGCTCAATATCATTAGCTATTAAGGGAATGCGAATTAGTGAGATACCACTACATACTCACTAGAATGTCTATAACTAAAAAGACTGTTAATACAAAGTGTTGGAGAGAATGTGAGAAAAGTGGAATCCTCAAACATTGCTGGTGGGAAGATAAAATAGTATAGCCACTGTGGTAAATCAATTGTCAGTGTCTCAAAAAGTTAAACATACACTTATCATATGATGGAACAAATCAAATCCTAGGAATTTGCCCAAGAGAAATTAAAACTTATGTCCACACAAAGACTTGGATGTGAACATTCAGAGCACTGCTTTTCATAATCACAAAAGAAAGTATAAACAATCCAATGTCTCTCAAAAGGTGAATGGGTAAACAAACTTTGGTACATCCACACAACAGAATACTCCTCAGCAATGAAAAGGAAAGAACCAGTTATACATGCAAGAACATGGACAAATCTCAAATGCATAATGCTAAGTGAAAGAAGCCAGACTCAAAAGGCTATATAATATATGATTCCATTTACATGGCAGTTTTTAAAAAGCAAAACTTACAGGAACAAAAAGTAAAAGTAAAGGGGAAGGATGATTTCAAAGAAGGGTTACCAGATTTAGCAAATAAAAATACAGGACAGACCTAGTTAAATTTAAATTTCAGATAAATGATAAATAATCTTCAGTGTAAGTATAGCTCATGCAATATAATGGTTCTTAAACTGTGGTCCCAGGACCAGCACCTTTAGAGTTACCTGGGTACTTATTAGGCATGCAAATTCTCAGGCCCCATTCAGATCTACTAAAACAGAAACTCTGGGCATGGAACCAGCAATTTATGTTTTACAAGCCCTCCAGGTGATTCTCATGGTATGGTTTGAGAACCACTGTTCACTATACCTCTAACTGGCAAAAAAAGAACCATAAGAAGCTAATATGAAGAGAAAGGGGCACATGAGCCTGTTTGATATATCAATTCACCATCATCAAATATTAACTGAACAGACAAAGGGTGTACAGTAGGTTCTCTGAGAAAGGACTACAGAAGTGATCCTCAACTGAGGGCAATTTCGCCCCTAGGAGACACTGGCAATGTCTGGAGACATTTTTGGTTGTCACAAGTGGGAGGAGAGGCTACTGGCATCTGGTGGGTAGAGGCCAGGGATGCTGCTAAACATCATAGAAAGCACAGAACAGCCCCCCAAAACAAAGAATTATCCAGCCCAAAATGTCAATAGTGCTGAGGCTGAGAAAGCTGGACTTAATCAAAACATTTTTTTAACCCCAAAGGCTTTAAAATCAAAGACATTTTTACAAACATGGAAATAAAAAGATTAAAAAGGTAGTGACAAATAAAATATAATTCAAGGTGTCTCATACTAAAAATACTAGAACTATTCTGAGGAGAATTTATAGAGACTAGTGATACAGAGCTAAAACAGCAATTTGGTGGTAGGAGGCACCTTTATGATGAAAATACCAGGTTCCTTTATTTTTAGAAGTTATGTGAAAGAATAAATTGGAGATCACAAGTTTGAGAACCATATACAAATTAAACTGCATCTGTAGACACTGTATGACCACGAAACATACTGGCCCAGGAATCATGGAACTTGAGTTCTAGTTTTGTTTGGTATTAGGTAGCTGTGTAACTTAGCACAGGTCACTTCCTTATCTGGGCTTCAATCTGTTGATCTGTAAAATGAGGGGGCTAGACGACTTAAGTCATATCTAAGACCCCTTGCAGCCTTAACATACTATGTCTATGTCAAAAAAATGAGCACAGGACACATTCAAATACATTTTTTACAGGATATGAGGGGGCACAGTATCATTTTGTTCCCTTTGGGGTAGTTTTGTGTTGACTTTGGTACTTTTGGCTTTTGTGTTTAGAAGGCGCTAAACAAAGTTTAGGTTTTCTTATTTATTTATAACAATTATATTAACAATTCATGTTCATTGCAGAAAAATTAGAATATACAAATAAACCACTCTTTTCCACTAAGTAGGATTCTGAGACGAATTATAGCAGGAATGTGTTAAGATAGTCTAACAAAAGTCAATTTTATTTTTGCAATTAAAAACTGAAGCGAACTCAAATCCCTACCACCTTTCTCAGTCCTGGGCTCTGCCCAGGGAGGCTTCTACACAGTCTTTTTTGGCAGTTTGTCTCTGGGAAATGGAGAGGCTCCCTTTCCCCCTGCTTTGCCCCAGGATAGCCAGCAGGATCTCCCTGATCTCCTGTTGTCCTCCCTCCCCAACAGAGAGTTTCTATCCTCTTTGATAAAAGCTCAGAGTTTTTATGGATCAGGAGAAAATGCAGGCCCTGAGAAACCTATCCCTGCAGAAAGGTTCCCTTGGGCCATGCTTTGGGTTTTCTGCTCTTTATATTTTTATTTTAATCTCCATTTTTCTGCCCTCCCCTTGCCCTAAGTCTAAGCTCAGCAAAGACGAGTGCTCAGGGCAGCTCCTAGGCCTGGACAGCTCTCAGGGAGGAATTAGATAAATGTTCAGCATGCCCATGCCTAGCCCATCTAGTTTCATTCTTTAGTTACCCAGGCCATTAGCTTCGGGTTATCCTCTCTTATATCTGCAAACCCAATGCTTGGAGCAGCAGCATAGGGCTCTAACAGGTGATACCTCTCTCTTTCATTTCAGAATTTGCCAACTTAGGGGCCTGGCTCTGGAAGGCAGTTTTCTTAAAGGGGACTGCATCCTGGGTGACCCAAAGTCTCCAGACCTAGAGGGACAATTGTGCCCTCCCTTCTCTCCTTCATGTTCTCTGGCTGGATTGATTCAGCTGTAGAAACCATTTGGTCTGTTGCACTCCAACATACCGCTAGGTTCCTTCCAGAGTCACTGTGTCACATTAGCTTCCTTTTGGAGGGAGGGTGATGTGGTTGAATACTCAGAGAGCAGAGGCAGTGGGTGCACGTCTTTAGTTCCCCATCTTCCAGTTTCACCTACGGCCTTCCCCTTGCCCTAAACCTGAGCGCATCATGCCAGGCCTCACTCAAACAGGGTGGTGTCAGCTCACTCCTCAGCAGTAATCTAGGGTGTGTGGGAAGCTTATGGCTCTGGGGAAGAACAGAATCGAAGAGGGGAGTGATATGGGTGGAGGCACCAGTTTTATATCACACCCCCTTTGTAAGCCGGTGAGCTGGGCTTCAGTTTTCCCCAGACCATACACACTTTTAATTTATTTGCGAGAAACTAATTGTATTTTCACTGCAGTATCTTGTTATATTTTGTGATTTAAGAAATGTGAAGAGAAAATACACAGACACATAATGGTTAACAGTGTTTCTTTCATTCCTTGTTCTAGAGCTAACCACTCTAAAACTGTTTGGTAATGTCACTTAATGTAATTAATTGTAACGTATTCTTTTAAATAAAATGATTTATTGATTAAATAACATTGAAGTGAAAATGTTTAGAAAATTAGTTACACTTTGTATGCATGCTCTTAGAGAAGACTACATTATTACTAAACATAGTAACTGTCATGCTATAAAAGAGAAAGAAACCTCACAATCCTTTCTCTGAGAACATATATTTTAGATCAACATGAGATTAAGAGTAATAAAAATTATATCAGCATCTATATACTTATAAAATATATATTGATAAATATACAAACATAACATCCAGATTCCATCTTCAGATGTTTTTAAATTTTAAAAATGTATTATTTCTTATTTTTTAACAAAAAAATAAGTTAATGGGCTGAAGAAAGCTTATTCAGCTTCAAGGTTAAAAGTGTGATAGTCTTTATGTCGTACGTGTCAGTGTGTCTGCATCTGTCTCAGTGTTAGAAGTAATTTCCCAGAAGAATTCCAGTCAACAGCATTTGACTTCACTGATTTCCAAGGAGTAACTTACTTTAATGTGATGTACACCATTCAGTTTTCCAATGCGCTGTTCAATGGTCCAAACACAGGAACTACATGTCATCCCCTCAACAGAGATGGTGACAGAATTCACACTCATACTTGGATCCATTTTGATTTCTTCTTTATATTCCTATTAGAAACAATGAACTTGTTAATTTCAGCCATGGAAATAATCCTTCCTCTGACATGCACTCCAATGTTCACTGCAGTGCTGTTTACAATAGCCAAGACATGGAAACAACTTAAATGTCCATCAACAGAGGAATGGATAAAGAAGATGTAGTACATATATACAATGGAATACTACTCAGCCATAAAAAAGAATGAAATAATGCCATTTGCAGCAACATGGATAGACCTAGAGATTATCATACTAAGTGAAGTCAAACAGAGAAAGATAAATATCACATGATATTGCTTATATGCAGAATCTAAAAAAAAAGATACAAATGAACTTATTTACAAAACAGATATAGACTCACAGACTTAGAGAACGAACTTATGGTTACCAGGAGGGAAGGGTGGGGGGGATAGATTGGAAGTTTGGGGCTGACATGTACACAATACTATATTTAAAGTAGATAACTGGGCTTCCCTGGTGACGCAGTGGTTGAGAGTCCACCTGCCGATGCAAGGGACACAGGTTTGTGCCCTGGTCTGGGAAGATCCCACATGCTGCAGAGCGGCTAGGCCCGTGAGCCATGGCCGCTGAGCCTGCGCGTCTGGGGCCTATGCTCCGCAACGGGAGAGGCCACAACAGTGAGAGGCCTGCGTACCGCAAAAAAAAAAAGAAAAAAAAAAGATAACCAAGAAGTACCTACTGTATAGCACAGGGAACTCTGCTCAAAACACTGTAATAACCTAAATGGGAAAACAGTTTGAAAAAGAATAGATACATGTATATGTATAACTCAGTCACTTAGCTGTAGGCCTGAAACTAATACAACATTGTTAATCAACTATGCTCCAATATAAAATAAAAACTTAAAAACCGAAAAAAACAAAAAACTTTAAGTTAAAAAAAAAAATTATCCTTCCTCAACTTTCCCACCTCCCCAGCTGAAAATACCCTACTAATAAAATATGGCTAACATTCTTTTCTCTCACCTCATTTTACCCCCACCACAGGGCCTTTGGGTTAGCTATTCCCTTGATTTAGGACTTTCTTCTCTTAGCTCCCCAGCTGAAAATACCCTACTAATAAAATATGGCTAACATTCTT